AAGGAATAGATGTGAGGTGCCTTGCATGGGCTTATATTGTAAGAATGTGAGAGAATTAGTGGGACCAGCCCAATGTTCTGCCGACTGCGGCACGCATCAGCCATTACCTTCAGTAATCTGAGTCAAGAAGACACATAGTATCCCAATCAGCTGTGTTTTTGGCGTGGGAGACAGAAGACACCTGAGGCTTCTCTTGGTCACTACTTGTGAAAGAACAATAATAAGATATGCAATTGAACAATTGTTAGCCCAAAATTTCTGCCCCTGCAAAAACTGATAAGGATAGCCCTGTGGACTGTAGTGGAGCTTGTCTTCTGCCGGGGAGGTGGTAGATTCTACCAAGTAGAATGAAGCATTATTTCCTCCAGTTTCTGTCACCTGACCTGGCCAAGTTCGAGAGAGCTGAGCTCCTTGTACATCTAGAATTCCATTCAGCATTTACTTTAATAGGATGTTGTAAGGATCCTGGTGGTGTTGAATTTTCCTCATTCAAATGTCCTTTTGCTGCCTGATAGCTCAGTTGTTTTGGTTTCTGGTTGCAGAGTTGGAGATTTGGGGGGAGTTTGATTCTCCATTTTGTCCCCTGCTAGGAGAGCCAGCCTATGTGACCTTCGGCAAGCTGCACAGTCCCACCCACCCCCCAAAGAAGGGGATGGTAAGCCACTTCTGAGTACTTTCTACCTAGAAAATCCTGGAAAGGGTCACCATAAGTCAGAATGGGCTTGACAGCACACAATTGAGAGGAATGTCTTTTAACTTTAAGCTTGCTCATGTTCACAAGTAGAAAATAGTGGCACATATCTCAGAAATGTGCTTATTATGTCCTTTCTGTGATTGGTTTTGCATGATTGCTGCACTCCAAGGCAGCTTCAGAGAGGGCTATTATGGGTTCAGCTCTACCTATAGATTGTGCCAACTTGATGCATCATTCACATGGAGAGTACTGAGTACTGAGACCGTACACTGTAAATCTTCCCATATAAGCTTTTGTAGTTATTTTTGGATTTGTAACCCACCTTTCTCCTCAAAAGAGTATTCAGGGTAATTCACAGAAATACTAAATAAAAGAATAATGCAATTGAAATACAAAATGGTTAAAAGTTTTGTTAAATTCAAAGTGGAATTTAAAACAGTTAAAATCCTATTGAGATTTTATTCTGGAGTAAGCAAAATTGTGTAAGATGCAGTAGTAAATTGCGGCTAATTATCAATATGGTGTTGCTGGGTGTGGTCAAGTGCCATTTATGCATGCTGACATGTGACCAGGTAGATGAGTGGCACGTTGGCTGAATTGAACCCCCTTTTGAAGAAGGAATTCAAAAGCTGAACATCCCTAGCCATTCAACCTTGGTTTAAAAATCTTTAGTGAAGGAGATTCGTCACCTTCCAAGACAGTCCATGTCACTGTTAAATATCTTTGTACTGTCAGAAAGTTATTTGTTTTGTGCGTGTGCGTGCTTATTCCTTTTATGCTAATATAAAATCAGGTTGGTTTTTTTTTCTTTTTTGCTTTTAGGAGAATTGAAACAACCCTGAAACTAGCACCCTCCCTGTCAAGCTTGATTTTCATTATGCTGAGAATGGTCTCTGTAAAGGTTGAGTGCCAGAGGGCTTTTAGAGACCTGAAGCCATCTGGTGGCAAGGGGGATAGCAAAGAGGTAAAGGGAAAGTCTTTGGAAGGATGTAAATGCAAAATAGCTTCTAACAAAAGATAGGCGTAGATTAGGATTGTCAGGCATCAAATTTTGGTGTGCAATGGCTGCTCAACAGATTGAGGGAATCTCCTGAAATCCTTGGATTGCGTATGGGTTCTCCCCAGTTCTTAGTGGACATGGTAATTCCTCTGCTATAACCAGGTGTTTCCTCCTTATACTTAATCCACTTACAATGCAAATCTGCAGAACTGTGCCATGGACTGCCTTGCTCCCTACTGCATTTGGTTCCTTGATCTGACATGCTCCTTTGAAAAACATAGATTCTATGAATATGTAGAACCCACCTGAAAAGGAGCCTGAGATTGAGGACAAAGGGGGAGAGGAAACATGACCACATCATATATAGCGTAGCTCTAAAGAGGCATAGGATCAGTTCTCTGACAAGCAGACTATATCAATTCTTGCAAGTTCTTCTAACGTATTTTTATTTATATGGGGGAGGGGGTAGCTGTTTGATGGGCAAATATTAATTCTGTCCATCAAACAGCTACCCCTTCCCCATAGGCCACCCCGTTACATAGATGGAGATCCTTCTATCTGTATTTATAAATTTCTACCTGACAGGGCTCCCAAAGCAAGCTACAGTAAAATAGATAAAACTGTCTTTTTATACAGAATAGTAAGTGAAAGATGATTACAGGAAAATGTGAGAGACTCAAGAACACAAATATGCAGGACGGAAATATTGTTAATCTCAGTTGTGTATTTGAGCCAAAAATCAGTTTTGAGGCTAAGCAGTTAGGGATGGGGAAGGATGCAATCTGATCAAAATACAGTTTGTCACGTTTTATTTTGTCAGGTTCAGAGTGACCATGTTTTAATGAAGACTTCAAAAGAATTAAGAAAGATTCAGGGGAAAAGCATTGGAAATGATGCAAAACTTATGCAAAACCAGTAAAAAAAATAGGCAGATTTAGCCTGGAGCAGATATGCAATATTTATTTATCAATCAGTATAAAGGCAATGTTGGCATGAGGAGATGAATGACTGTGCTTCACTTGTTTGTCACGTTGGTTTAGGGTGGGGGAAAATGGCATCCCTTAAAATGGCCCAGAGTGTATGGGTGTCTGTTCCTGTTGGACAGGTCAAGAAGGATCAAAGTTGCTCTAAGGAATGTGTGGTAGTACAGTTGTTGATTTGGCACGGTGAGAAACAGAATGCATTTACCTTGCTTAGACACATAGATATAGCAATTTAATATAGTGCTGCCACTGCTTCCTACTTACAGAATCCTCGGCTTTGCAGTTTGGTGAGGCAGTGAGAATTCTTTGGTGTATTAGTTTTATTTATATGCTGCATTTCTCCCAACAAGGGATTCAAAGTGTCTCACAACATCAAAATTTACACAATTAAAAAAACACAGTAAGTTAAATATTAAAAGACAAATTAAACAATATATGATTTAAAATAAAATTAAAAGATTGAAACATACTCTAAGATTATCTGCTAAAATGGGGTTCAGGGATTCAGTCATAACTTTTAAAAGCCTGCCTGTAGCGACAGGGAAGGGGCCATCCTGATCTCTTGAGGGAGAGCGTTCCATAGCCTGGGAGCTGCCACAGAGAAGGCCCTCTCCTGTGTCCCCCTCAGCTGTGCTTGTGCTGGCAATGGGGCTGAGAGGAGGGTCTCCTCTGCTGATCTTAATCACCAAGAAGGAGCTTATAGGGAGATAACAGTCCTTCAGGTAGCCTGGACCCAAGCTGTATAGGACTTTATAGGTAATGACCAGCACATTGAATTGGGCCCAGAAATGGACTGGTAGCCAGTGCAGTTCTTGTAACAGGTGTGTTATATGCTCCCTGTAGCTGGATCCAGTCAGTAGTTTGGCTGCAGAGTTTTTCACCAGCTGAAGTTTCCAAACTGTTTTCAGAGGCAGCCCTACACAGAGTGCATTACAGTAATCCAAACAGGATGTAACTAAGGCATATGTCACTGTAGCCAGATCCGACACCTCATGGGCGCAGGTGACGCATCAGCTTTAGCTGAGCAAATGCACTCCTGGCCACCGTCAGGACCTGGGCAGACAAGCTTAGGGGTGAATTGAGGACTACACCCAAGCTGCAGACCTGAGTTCAGGTGGGTACCTTCAGAATTCTAAGCAGTTCTTCAAATTACAAATATTGAGACTTCTTAGATGTATGCCCTTTGCATTTATCCTCCAGCATGAGCTGGAATGATAGTGCTTGCTAGAACTGGCATGCCAGGTGTTGATAAATTGGAGCTGTAGCAGATACACTGTGGTCCTGTGATGGAGAAATAGTGACTCCTTAGTGTTATCGCGACTATGAATGGTATAATATGCATTCCACTTAAAGAAGCAGCAGTCCATTAAAAGAATCCATGATACTTCAGTTTCACTATAGTACTTTTTTCCTCTCCAAAACGTAACCCATTTGTTTTATTCATCATCAATAAAGTAGGTCCTTTAAAGCTAAAACATGCCTCATTTCAAAACTTGAAGTTCGAAAAGTTGAAGTTTCTGCTTGTTTTTTAAAAAATCCTCTAGCCATGTGTCTTTGTTTTCATTTTGTTCTAATTGTGTGGCTTGTTAACTTTTTTAAAAAAAGTAATCTGTAACTATGGGTCAGCTGCGACATTTCTGCTGGACACCAAATCTCTTAAGGCAAAATTGAAGACTGTACAGATTGGTCTGAGAAGTATGGTGGTAAACAGGTCCTCCTTTTTCACTGGTGATTGTTGAGACAGACAGGATTATTGGCACGTCCTACTCTGTGATTCCAGAAAGGGGATAATAGGAAAAGACAAAAGAAAAAAGATCCCTATTCTCTGCTCTGTCGTGTCATAATTGGGGACGTAGTTGACAGAATCAAAAATGAAGCCAATTAGCAGCTTATGCTCTCTTCAGGTAAATCTTGCCATTTTAATCTCCTACTGTAGCCCATTAATCTGCAAAACTGTTTCCCATTTTATCACCCTTTCTATTTTTGCCCTGAACTTCTCATACCCCTTTTGAGATCCCGTCACAGGACTCTTTTCTCATTGGCTAGAGGAGGATTTAGTGGGTACTTAAACACCAGGAGCTGCGTTGAAGAAGCTTTTGGAATTTTAAAACTCACTCAGCCAGACGGTGACTTTTTCTCAAGTAGGAAGCTTTTGTCAGCCTCTCACCACACATGATATTTTGCCAGCCTTAGGACTTTTGCTACTTTCGATTCTGCTATAAGTTTTGTTTCTATTGCAATTTTTTTGAATTTTCAAGAGAAAAATAAAACACCAGAGGGCCTCACTGTTCTTGAGAGACAGCCTGCCCTCTTTTGCTTTAAAATGGGGAACATGGATGGAAAAGCTGTGGAGGAACTGAGTGCGACCGAGTGTCACCAGTGGTACAAGAAGTTCATGACAGAATGTCCCTCTGGGCAACTTACCTTGCATGAATTCAAGCAGTTTTTTGGCTTAAAAAATCTAAGCCCATCGTCAAATGAATACATTGAGCGAATGTTTGAAACGTTTGACTTTAATAAGGTGAGTACTCATATATGAGTATTTCTTTCTCCTCTCTCTCTCCGTATATATATGTAACATACATATAAGTATGTGGATCATATGGCGATTTATGAAACACATGTCTGCATATATGAAAAACTATTTGGGTTGATCTGTGCATTTTCTTTTTTGCATGATACATACTTTGAATTGGGCCTGGAAATGAATTGGTAGCCAGTGCAGTTCTTGTTAACAGGTGCATTATATGCTCCCTGTAGCTGGCCTCAGTCAGTAGTCTGCACCAGCTGAAGTTTCTGACTTGCTTTACTTGTTTTAATTCATTTCTGCAAAAACGGGCTATAATGACAACTTTTCACCCAATCATGCTAGTATGTTGCTGGTATTCAATTTGTGTGCTTTTCTATGTTCAGTTCTAAATTGCTACTTATATAAACCTGGTAGATGTGTAAAAGTGGAGCTTTTTCAGAAATTGTTTATAGTTCAGTGTTTTATTTTACTTTTGGAGAGATGGAATTTCATAAAAAATAAGCACACTTCCTCAAACCCTATGTAAAGGATTTCCTAAGTAAGTTGCAAATAAATAAAAACAGAGCAGCATAATATACATGTTCCTGTAAAATATAAAAAGCTACTTGCTTTAGTTTTTCTCTTTTATTTGTTCATTTTTCTTTTTGTAGGCAAATATTGGCTTAATTATACTAAAAAGAAAATCTGCCTGCATTGACATTTAAACTCAGTGTTAATACTGATGAAAAAACAACCTAGTTTTGAAAATATGAAATTATAATGGCAATTTAAAAAAACACAACTTTATAAGAAAACTATTTGATCAAATGCTTATAGCAAAATCTTTGTTAAGAGCATCCACAATGCAATTCTTCTATTATAGTTGACAGTTTCTGTTAGAATATTCTGAATACACAACACTCTTTGAGACAACTGTAAATATACCTCATAGTCCAATGACCTTGGATAAGCTTTTTTAAAATATGGTTGTGTGTGTTAAGCTATTTAATGTCAATTCATTCATAACATATTGGAGTGACAGTGAATCAGATTCTCTGCAAGTGTTTTTCAGGACAAAGAACCTTGTAACGACTATTTGCTAGACTGTGGATTCTAGAGTTAAATCCAGCTTTCACGTAATACAGTGTTTTGCATTAAGTGTGTAAATTTGGAATTGATCTGTTGACGTCAAAGAAACAGAACCGGCTTTATCTATCTGTCAGCTTTAGACTAGAGCTGTTTCCCTTCACCTATCTCTGTAGCTGTGTCAAACTGACTGACCCATCAAAATCTTTTCAAGGAATCTCCAAATTTCATCCTGTATATCTAGTGATGCTCTAGATGGGGCCCATGAGCTTGAAAAGGAAAATTCTGACAAAATTTTCAAACTTTAATATCATTCAAGTCTTCTGAGCATAGAAAAATTGCTTTCAACCACTAGGGGGTGTGCAATTACGGTATTTAAAGGTGTCTTAGTACCTTCAGGCTGTAATAAAGGCTCAGACATGCATTTTCCTGAAAACTATCACATATAAGATAGAGTACAGGGGTTACTTGTCAGACCTAGTAGAATTCTGGATATATCCTAGGAATCCAATCTGCTCATCTAATTCAGTACCTCCAAACCCTACATACTGTTCTGCAGATGGCTTGAAATAGACAGTCTTCTCCATTTTGTAATCATTTATCGCTACATACTGTCCTGCAGATGGCTTGAAATAGACTGTCTTCTCCATTTTGTAATCATGAGAGGTAATCAAACATCACTTTTAACTAAAGCTAAAAAACATAAAAACACTGGCAATGGTGGTTCCGACTGAAGAACTGAACATACACATTTCTGTATGTATAGAGTTTATGCCTGTTCGGTACAAATAGATGTAAATCTTAGCTACAGTGGACCCTCTACTTAAGGAATTAATCCGTATTGGAACGGTGGCTGCAAGTCGAAAAGTCTGTAGGTCGAATCTCCATTGACCTACAATGCATTGAAAACCTATTAATCCCATAACCAGCAGTTTTTATTCTAGTTTTGTTCCATTTTGGGTTTTTTCTGGTCTGTAGGTCGATTCTCTGGCTGCAAGTCGAATCTAAATTTTGCAGCCAGAGAAGTCTGTAACTCGAAAAGTCAGTAAGTCGAGCTGTCTGTAAGTCGAGGGTCGACTGTATTCAAACCTTCAATGAAAAATTATCCCCCTGTTTAAAGGAATCAATGTAAGTTTTTCCTTCTAGCAAAAGGAAACAGAGGACAAACACTGTAAATTTATATTAAAAGTATATTTAAATAGTGCCCGCAAGTTGATGTATGCTAGCACCCAGAAGTTGATGTCTATTTGCCCTGAATCCTTTTTAAAAATCATTCCAGAAATATCTGTTTAGCCACAGTGATTTGATTAATTAATAGTTGCATTATGATTTTCCTGAGCTATTAGTAGCTGGAGCAATAATTTGAAAATGAAAGTGACAAAGGCCACATTTTAGGATGCAGCATTGATGAATACTAGTAATGTATTTGTGTTATTCCGGAAATGATCTCTCTTGTTAATGTCACCCCCCACATGCAAATTAAAAATATGCATAATATTCTTAGCAGTTCTTTGGAAATGCCCAGCCTTTCCCCATGCTCAACACTTGATCCTTTCTTTATGCACTGGAGAGAGTATTCATGTGTTAATATAACAATTGTGTGCTGTCAAGTCAATCATGACTTAAGCAACCTTTTCCAGGGTTTTCTAGGTAGAGAATGCTCAGAAGTGATTTACCATTCACTTCTTCTGGGTTGATCTTGGGACTGTACAGTTCGCCAAGGAGGACACAGTCTGGCTTTTCTCTCAGGAGGCACAGTTGTGGAATCAAACTCCCAACTTCTGGGTCCAGAGACAGATAGCTAAACCACTGAGCTAGCCTATCAGTTCATTTAATTCACAATGATGACAATACCATCAGTTTGTATTGTTGGGCAAACATAGCTACCTACTGAGCTAACAAGCTGAGTGAGAATTTGTGCTGGGGTGCTTTGTTTTAACTTTCTACATAGTCACACATCAAACCAGTGGCCTATACTGTACAACCCAACCCACATAACTGAGAGGAAAGAGTCTCTACAGGTATGTTTGAGAGTGCAGCCATAGTTATTGGAATTAACCCTGAAGGATTAAAGAAATATCTATATTGGGGCATTGAGCAAACATCCATGAGGACATCTGAGCTCGTTCCCATAATTTCCTCTGACATCAGTGGCTATGATGTCAGTAGGACATAAACTGTGTAACTGGACACATAATTATATAATCTCAAATTGTTTGCATAATTATGTTGTAAACCACCTATGAAGTGCTTTAGCACTATGGGCAATATATAAGTCAAAGCAACTGCAACAATAACAACTATATATAAATTGCTGGAAATCAGAGCTGATTGATATTAGAATATGGTTTCTCTTCTTCTCCTGACTTAATTATAACTGTTGAAAATAGTACAAGAAAATAATTCATCAGTATAGATACTTCTGCATGAAGTGACACAAGCCCATTGTTTTGGTTTTATAATTTAACTTTTGTGTTTGCATCTGTTGCCAAGTGTAGTAACATAATTATTCCATTGCATGGGACAATTGCACCATAGAGTTTACAGAAAGAAATAGATCTAACCTCCTACTCATGTTCTCAGGGGACTAATCACCAGCTTTGCTATTCACAGAGTTGCTAGATCTTTTAATCTTCAAACCTTGCAGCAGCAAAAATCTCATGTGAAGTAGAGCTCAATTTTTGATGAGACACTTTTCGAGATCAGACAGAATAGGAGTAGTAGTAATAATAGTAATGGGAATTAGGTTAGATATATGTTTTGAACAGGTTAAGTAATACAGATATTCCAGATACAGACATAGCTATTAGAAATAAAGTCCTATAGATTTTAGGGATTTTGATTTCCAAGGGAGATTTATAGCACTAGATTTCTGCTAGCTAGTGTTTCCTTTTTGTCTTTTTAAAAAATGCAAGTGATGAGAAATTTAATCAAATCCAAAGATTTCTGTTTGACTCATTGGGATTTTTTTTCTTCCCCCTCTGTTTAAAAGCATCCTCACTGAAAAATGGGGGACTAGATCCAGTGGTTACTCCCTACCGGAACAGACTTATTGAATCAAGTCAACGCTTATGTAAACCCCACTGATTCACTAACAGATGCATTTAATCCATAGTTTGTGAGGTGTCATGAAATACTACTGTGTAAGCAAGACTACTTGAACCCCCCCCCCCCTTTAAGCACGTGGAGCATTCTCCATGAGTCTTAAAATCCCATGTCTGACAGCTAAATCAACACACAGGAAATCCAGTCTGATAATTGGGTTCAACATTGTTAAAACCTAATCTGGTTTTAAAGGGAGGTATCTATAGAATAAATCAGCTTAGCTATTTGTGATCTTGAAGGCAGTAGGCTGAGTTGATTTATGAGCACATCCTACTGGAATCTGTGCTGTTTTCATTTGAAACAGAAATAGAAACATAAGTATGTTTTAATGTTTCATGGCAGGTTTGTGGTAAAAAAAAACAGACATGCTTTGGGCAAGTTATTTTAGAATTTTTGAATGTACTTATGTGCATTTGTCTTTAAAGTATGCAGAAATAAGACATTAATCCTGATACGTAACTTCTTTAAAAATATTAGCCTAAATGTATATCTCTAGATATCTTGACAATGTGAACAAGCTATTGTTATTGCCAAAACAAATTCATTGCTAGGATAAAGATACAAATCAAGTCCCACCATGAAGCTAAATCTTTGCTAGGGATAAATTCTACCAAATAACTTGTTTCAGTAAAAGACTTTTGCTTAATTTGGGGGATTTACACAACAATCCCATTACCAGCCAAAATAATTTCAGAGGCATAGTCAATAAGGAAACATTTGCTATACCGTATGCTCTGATACAAAATTAGATGGCTTTAAAAGTGTTATTTAGCAGTGATGTGGAACACTAAAATAATTTAAGATCAAAATATAGGAGGTTCCTGTAAAACCTAGGGTACTTTTTCTTTCAGTTCACTGCTGAAATCCAGCAGCGTATCTTGAACTGCATAAGGTTGATAGCATAATCAGTAATGGTGGTTCTTCATAGATTAAGAATTCCTGTTCCTCTTCCCTGAAGGTCCTGAGATTCCCTTCAGATCCCTTTCATCTTGGGGAAGCTCTTAGGGAGCGCATGTGTGTGTGTGTGGGGGGGGCTGTCGTTAATTTCAGAAAATCAACACCTCTGGTAAAATCATTCTAGTGGTGGCAATTTTTGGACATTAAACTCCACTCCAATCCTGGACCTCCAATGACCTCCCCACAATAAAAGGGATGCTTATTCTTTTGGGGAGCTAACTGGATAGCTCAGTGGTTTAGGGACTTATCTTTGAATAGACATTACTGTATAGGATTCCACACTATCCTTGTAGTTCTCTTCTTCAATATAGGTTTTATGCGTATATTTCAACTGTGGGTTGAGAACCAGTTCGCAGAGAGAATAAGAGCAAATGTGGAAATTAAGCAAACTACTGTATCTTCACATGTCCAAGGAAGTAGATTTGATTCACAACTGTTCACAAAGAAACAATTTTTCAAGGTGCCACAAGGTTTAGGCATTTATCCACTCTCACTCACACACCCTGTTGTATCACAGGTACCTCTTTGGAAATTGTGGAAAGTTTATTTCCAACAAGGTAGCTGTGTTAGTCTGTTTTAGCATGTTCACAAAATTAAAGGACAATAGAGAAGGAGAGAAGCAAAGGACAAAATGTTGATGTACCAAAAAGACTAACAGCTTTGTTTCAGTGTGAGCTTTCACAGACCAAAATCCACTTCCTCAGATATCTGGAGTGCTCATATTATGCCATCAGCGTTAAAGTGTATCCTGGTAATAGTGGAGGGTCAGGTCATGACTCGGTGAGAATAGAGACAAGAGACAGAATGACATTGCACTGTTAACATGATTAATTATACATTGTCATTCTGTCTTTAAAGTGCCATGACATTTTGTCCTTTGCTTTCTTACTCTCTCGCTCTTTTTCCTGGTTGTCTTTCCTTTCCTTTTTTGCCTTTAGTTTTGTCAATCTGGAAATTCAATGAGTTGAGACATTCTTTTTCTTATATAAAAATACATGAAAAGGAGGAGAAGAAGGGAGAACAGGCTTAAATGAACAACTGAGGTGGTTAAACTATCACAGGCTAATGTGTGTAACTGTGGTGAAACATCACAGACAATGAGTTCATTCCTCTCCTTGTTCTTCAGAGGAACTCTAAGAAGTGGTGGCCTGCAATCTTACTACTCGTCTGTGACGCAGTCATCAGAGCATTCATATAAAGACAAATGAAGTCATCATATGTGTAGCCTGTATAATTAAAATTGTAAACCGCCCGGAGAGTGCTTGTAGCACTATGGGGCGGTATATAAGTCGAATAAATAAATAAATAAATAAATAAATAAATAAATAAATAAATAAATAAATAAATAAATAAATATGCCATGCATTAGAAGTATCACTAACAATGGTGCCACTCATATCTTTAAACACCAGAATTGCTTTCAGTTTCTTTTTGTTGCTAATTTTCCTCTGTAATGTTGGATAGGTGAATAAATTGGTTTAGCATTACTGCAGGATTTGATATTTGCGTTGAAAAAGTTAGGCATTTTTCTTCATTTTAGCAAACACATACCAATGATCAACAGCAACCACAATCTCTATTTTGGCACTGAGTTTAACTGTAAAATTCAAATATCTAACCATTTGTTTGGATATCCACGTTCCTTTCACCAGACCCATTTTTAAATCACCCATCCTGTTAGAAAATTTTGGGCAACAAGAAAGCTTGTACAGTTTGGTTGATTCTAATAATGGTACTGTTCATTTATGGATTTTGAATTTGGTTAGTTTTTGTCCATGAAACAACTACCTTCATTTTTGTATCTATTATAATGGCCATAATCCTATTGGTTAGTTATTCCCAAGTAAGTGCAATGGCATAAATCACACCAATGAATGGTAACTAGTTCATTGGTTGCTATCCCTTATCACACACAAACCCACACAATGACAGATGCAAACGGCAACTTATTAACCAGTGGCTGTTCATGGCTGCAGTTTATGTCAATATACTCACACTAATGTAGCCTAACCAATAGCATTCTAGTCAAGAAAAACTGCGCCCTTTAAACTACAATGTAGGGAAAAGATTGCTGATGAATGGCAGTGGTGTGGTGAACTCTCCAAGTGTGCAAGTTGAGTTGGATAAGCCCCAGGGCTTGTTAAGATGGGCATTTGTTCCACTGTTTAGTCTGCTGTGGGGATGGTCTGATTTCCTTTTTCAAGCAATCATGCAACATATTCACTGGAGCGGACCAAAGCATGCTCAGAGCTATTCTGGCTGCACCTTTCTGAGCCACTGTCAGAGACTTCTATTTTTTTTGGGGGGGGATGCAGATAAGATTGCTCTGGTCTGGTCCATTTCCAGCATGTGTGATCACTGGGAACAAAGCAAAAGTGAGCCTTCCTGGCTGTCAAGGTTCCTTCCAGTTGGAATTTCTGATATTGTGAAGTGGCTTCATAAGTGAGTTATTTCAGGATATTGGCAAATTGAACACTTCTTCTGCTTCTTGGCGGAGAGTCAGGGGAAGGGTTTTTTTTTTAAAGAAGAAGTAAAGACACTAACAGACCACAGATTTGGCTGTGGGCAGTTTCTTGACTGGTCCTTTAAAAGTAAACAAAGAAAATACATATTTTTTCTTTATTTAAAAGTGATGAAGCACCTCCATGATAGTCCAGCAGAGTCTTTAAAAATATTATAAAGCCACGTGACAATATTGGAAGGAGCTGAACCAAATGGGGTCATTTGAACTCCAATATGCCATTTGGATGTGAGGATCACATCAAATGGCATGTCACATCTCCACCTGAGCCTAAGCCACCCAATTGAACTTGCACCAGCCAACTTCAAAAGAGCCAGTGTATACATGCTCTCAGTTAAAATTCTGCCTGCAATAATATTTTCTTGTATTACTCCTCGTGTGGCATAGTAGGTAGAGTGACAAGACAATGACTCTGGAGAATAGAATTAAGATCCCCACTTGGACATGGAAATTCACTGGGGGAACTGGCAAAACCACTCCTTAAATATCTCATTTACCTTGAAAGCCCTATTTAGGGTCACTATCAGTTGGTTCTAACCTGATGGCACAGAACACACACACACATACATGTTGTATGCCCATATTGAAAGCACACCTGTGGTTGTTGCAAAATGTAAGCATGATTGTGGTGAAGTTATAAGTTTGACATGCTTCTTCTTGTATTTCAACAGGATGGCTACATTGATTTTATGGAATATGTGGCAGCTCTGAGCTTGGTCTTAAAGGGAAAAGTAGAACAGAAGCTGAGATGGTATTTCAAACTCTATGATGTGGATGGGAATGGCTGTATTGACAGAGATGAGTTGCTAAACATCATTAAGGTAAACATTTTTCTCAGTATTTTCTTCAGCTAATTATTATCTGGCAGCAGTTGGCAGAGGTAACTGCACTGTTCTGAGTATGTTACTGTTGCAGTTATGGGATAAACTATAAAAAAGTTTTATTCAGTTGACTGTATATTCAATGCACAGTATAATAAATTTGTATAACAGACAGATTTAAGTGCAGATTAATGGCCAGAATCATACTGGTATGGGCATATGGTTTGTGTGACTTGCCACAAGTAACTACAACTAGTTGTCAGGGTGTGTCTTGGTTGTGCAATTGGAAACATAGTTAGGCATGCTACCAAGACACATCCCAACACTTTATCAGTCAGATGTAGCAACCCTATACAAACACCAACTGGATTCTAGCTAATGTGTGAAAAAACATTTAAGACCAGAAAGCCTTCTGTGCCATTAAGTGAACAAATGCTTTAAACCCAGTGAAACAGTGATTCTTCTGAATTAGTTTGGTGATTTCCTTTTAATGGTATATTGGCAAATTATCATGAAAATCCGGAATAAGATACAGCTCCTGCTCAGGAATGATAACAGAATGGTGCTCGAACTCTGTTGTATTCTGGTAGTAGTGGCATGCCAAGGGTTGGATCAAGCAAGAGGAATTGACAGTATGGAGATATCCACACCTGCTGATTTCCTGATGTGAACTGCAGTGGTTAAATGTGGAAGCTTTCTAGATAATGCCATCCTGAACGCACCTGATCTCATCTGATTTCCAGAGCTTATCTAGGTCAGATCCAGCTAATACTTGGACTGGACACCAGAGAATACCAGGGGTGTCTAGGTAGAGCTAGGAAGCAGTACAACCTGAAACCCTGGAAAACTTGCCAGTTAGTGCTGACAAAATTTGGCTAGATAGACTAATGTTCTAACTTTGTATAAGTCAGCTTCATATGCTCTTCTGTTTTTTAGAGGATCTCTGGGATTCAGTACTTGTTATCAGGGGAAGGATATGTCCAATGATTCCTGATTCCCAACCGAAATATTCAGGCTTACTTAAATAGATACCTGAAATTACTAGTTCCTAGTCGTTCCCAGTGCTATTGAATCAGTAGCTGAATGCAGTTTCAGGACATATGCAAAGCTCATTGATTCAATGTGCACATTCTAAATGGGACTAACATCTGGGTTAAGGTCAAAGTCTGAATAAAATGACATAAAAGATAGATCAAGTCCTATCTGAATTCAAGCCCAAACAACGTTTAGGAGGAAAACTCTGATGACATCTTATAAACACTGTTGTATTATATGGTATATATTTAATTATGCTATGATTTTTAAAAAAATATTAAAGTCAGAAACAAGTTTATTACCCATGGGCAAATGTTGCACAACAGTTTGTTGATTCATGCTTTAGGTTCACAGTTAGGTAAATCTGAAAGTGTATTTATTTTATTTCCTCTGTCTCAATTCCCTCTAGGCAATTCGCACCATTAATCCATGTAATGAAGTAATGTCAGCTGAGGAATTCACAAACATGGTGTTTGATAAAATCGATATAAATGGAGATGGTAAGAATTTCTCTATAAGGAGATATCTTAAAGCAGGACTCCAAAAATATGTTTTTAGCAGTGTCTCAGCATTAAGGGAAAATGCTAGGGGAAAATCCATCATCCAACACCATCCAACAGCTCTTGGTATTATATTAGAAGTAGGCAACTTCATTCACTCCAGAGACTCATTTTGCCCTCACTTGGATCTTGGTGAACCATCCTTCTGCCTTTCCAACTTCAACCCAGCTCCATGCCAATTTGGGGTTTTTTTTTCTACAATGAAAATAGCCAATCATCCCACTCCCAGGAGGATGCAATTACATACTATTTCAGGCCATTTTGAGCCTTTTTTAGGCCACTGATAAGACATTTTTTAGAAGCAATAGCCAGTCAGTCAATTCTAGTTTTCAAAAAATGATGTTCTAGGACTAAAGAAGTTCCATGAGGTCCTGATATTTCATACAAAATGTCCAGTTAGAGATGACTGAGACCACAATTGACATTTTCATACTGAATATTCTTGGGGCCATGAAAGGAGCAGGGCCCATTGGCCACACTTGGCCCATGGACTAGATATTAAAGTCAATAAACTCTCATGGTGCCATTCCATCTTTTGGATGCATCAATAACCTTTCCATTTCTTTTTCGGCCAGAATTTGTTGTAACCATACAATTCCTGTCTTAAAACTTTGGTATTACTTTTTCTTCTTCTTTTAGCAGATGGCAGACTATTTTTTAGATATAGGGGGAAATAGTAATTTGTGGTGGTACTAGAAGATGGGGAAGCCCTGTAGAATGAGGATCTCCATCCTTGATTAAGTCCGTGGCCCAAATTCTCTTGCCAAGTTATACTGGTATAACTCAAACAGTACAACTTTTGAAGGCAAATCGTCCTGAATCACTGTGGACATTATTCGTTGCTTACTGACTTGTGTGACTCAGCATGCAACTGATAATGTCTGTTGGGATTTCTTAACTCAAGGCAATTTGCTTCCAAAAGTTACACAACTATGCATGGGGATTTTGGCCATTGTATGTTTGTTCAGAAGAAACAGCTTTATCAGTATTTGGTAATATGGCAAATTAGGGTAGCAGATACAGTAATTCTGTAACTTAGTAGAAAATTATGAAACAGAGTTTAAAGAAAGAAGAGGAATGATTTACATTAGCTATGGTCAGAAGTCCCTCAAAGTTATGTTAAATGAGCTCTGTGAAATCCTGATGTATAAGGAACTAATGGATTTTCTGCTCCTGTGAAGAAAAACAAAACATTATTTTTTTTTTAAAATGTGGACATAAACTAATTCTGAAATGGGCAATTTGTGGCCCTCCATATGTTGAAGAGACTGCAACTCCCATCATCTTCACCACTGATGATCCTAGCTACTAGAACTAATGCGAATTTCAGTCCACCATGTTGGCTACCCCAATCTAGAAATAACAACTCCTGCTCTGGATAACTCATGAAATGAAACACTGTTTATTCATTGAAGCTATAATTGAACAAAACCCTTCTATGTGTTTCTGCAGGTGAGCTGTCTCTGGAGGAGTTCATGGACGGGGTGCAAAAAGATGAAGTTCTACTTGACATCCTCACCCGCAGTCTGGACCTGACACATATAGTTCGAATGATCCAGAATGATGGAAAGAACCCTAATGAAGGAGGGCAGTCAGCAGAGGCAGCTGAATAGACCATATTGTTCTTTTTTAAATATATGAACTTTAAGAAAAATATGTTTTTTAAAAAGAAAAAGTTAAATAAAGGCAATATAAGGAAAAACCAGAGATATAATTTCGACAGGGATAGATACGTCTTAGAATATCAACACCAAGTACTGTAAACAAGATTTTCTCCCCTGTGTAATCAGTGACATCACCTGTTGTAAATATTTAATTTTTTAAAAAAAAACACTGACCCTTCAATTTTATGAATACGGGATAGTGTGCTTCTGTATCCATAATTCGGAACACCTGGAAATAACTCTCTTATGCTCATTACCATTTCTTCTAGGCATTTTGATACATAGAACTTGTTGAAAAACAGACCTAACAATTGCTTTGTGTTTTGCAAAAAGTGGTTGACAATTGAAAAAAGGAATAAGTTTCTCTTTGTGATTGGTAGTGAGCACAGGAGTTTAAACCAGTGATTCCCAACCTTGGGTCCCCATATATTCTTGGACTACAATTCTCAGAAATCCTGGCCGGCACAGCTAGTGGTAAAGGCTTCTGGGAGTTTTAGTCCAAGAACATCTGGGTGCCCAGGGTTGGGAACCACTGCTGTAGACAAACTTGACTGTTGACATTGGTGTTGTCAACATTTTTGAAGACTTTCATTTCCTGGCTTTTTAAAATTAAAGTCTTCATTTTTTAATTCATGCCCATCTCTGGCCATGATGCAAAATGCTAGGAATTGACTAGATATCGCTGCACAATATTGTGCCTGCACTGCCAGCAGGAAAAAAGGATGTCAAGCTTTACATAGCAAAGGGCAGCCTGAATGATTTTAAAATGGAAGTTGTAAGTATACATTAAATACACACAAATTCCAACAGCAACTTCCCTCATGTAGAGTTACCCAGTGCTAGGGGATCCCAGAAGATGATCACATGATCTGAATATGGTTGCTGGTAGAAGGCAGAACCAAGAACAGCTGGGATGTTGCTGCAGTCCCTCTGTGCCAAAATATTTTGAAGAGCTGTTTTGGACTTAATAAACTGGTGAAGCAAAAATGTGAGTGAGTGCAACACACTCAGAGAAACGTACATTAACCTTTCAAGTAAATTAATAATGCAATGTCTGCTCTGCGGAATGCAGACTAGAAAGCTCTCTTCCAATTTCCAAACCCTTGCTCTACAAACATGTCACCTGCATATTTTTTAAAATATCGCTCCTCATCTTTTGTAATTAAAGGTGTGAGGCTGGAATTTAGCAAAAATTGTCACTGGAAAGCAAGGTCAAAATCATCCATAGTTTGTGAAAGAAAGTATGAAATTTGTTGTTGGAGGTGAGCCTTACAGATACCACAGATGACTAGAAAATAAGTGGGTGCTTAATCAAGTCAAGTTTGACTAGAGCAAAAATTAATTAATTGAGGCTATCCTACTTTGTACATATACTGAGAGTAGAGAACTGACCAGGAAAGAAAATATTACTTGGAAAAGCAGGGGACAGTAGGAAAAGAAGAAGATATGACACATGATCCATTGACTCAACAAAGGAATCCACAGCTATAAGTTTGCAAGATCTTAACAAAATTCAGAACTTAATGAAAAAGACAGTATTGCTGGGAAGAGTGAAGTAGGAAAAGATGAGATCCTGTTGGTTTGCAAGATCTGAGCAGAGGTGTTAATTATAGGACATTTTATAGGTCATCAACTCGTATAGTCATATAGTAATTAAAAAAAACATTCCAAAGTTATGTGTCCTCTAGTCACTTCTGATACGTGGTGGTTATAAACATTAATGATTTCCCAAATGTCCTATCATAAACAGTCTATCTGGGTGTTACGATCATCAGGGGAAACCTTTCTCTCTGTCCCACCATCTTCACATATGTGCTTGGTGGGAACATGGAAGAGGGCTTGTCTGTTGCTGGTCCCAGACTCTGGAACTCCCTCCCACTGGGGGCCAGGCTGGCCCCATCATCACCGTCTTTCTGCAAGCTCTACAGGCAGGCTTTCCCTCAGTGACTGGCTGTCTGAGAGGGATTTTTAAATGGATTGTTGTGCCTTGTTGCTTTGAATGTGTTTTTGGTTTTGATTTTCTTTACTGTATTAGAGTGGTATTTCTTTGTTTCTTTTTAAATATTTGTATACTTCTGTTTTTAGCTTTTAAATATTGTCTTTTACTGATGTAAGCCACCTTGGGTCCTTTTTAAGGAGAAAAGCAGAGTAAAATATTTTAAACAAACAAACAAACAAACAAATTAAATTTAAAAAATTAAAATATTTGCCCTTTCCCAGCTTCGAATGTATTGTTGTTACGTGCGGTCAAGCTGCCTCTGACTTATGGCGACCCTATGAATGAGAGATCTCCAGCACATCCTTTCCTCAGCTGCCCTGCTCAGCTCTTGTAAACTCGTGCTTCTTTAGGAAGTTAATCCATCTCATATTTGGTCTTTCTTTTCCTGCTGCCTTCAGTCTTTCTGCCACAAACCCTCAGTCCTAGAGCAAAGTAGCTGCTTTTCCCTTTTGAAAGGTATTTTTGAGGATCAATGTTTCATCCCCTGCAGTCTGGATTACTTCCAAATTAAAAAAAAAAACAGGTAGGGCCAACCATTCTCTTTTGAGATAACCAAGATTGGTCTTGTCGATTTATGTGATCTGTTTTAAATCTGGGGATGTTTAAGATCACCTATTTCTGAATGGAGGAGGAAAGCAGTTTTAAAAAATCATAACAGGAAAACCCTTTGCCCAGCCTTCCCCAAATTTGGTACAAAGCAAGAGTGGACTGCTACAGATATGCAGATTTGGTGCTGATCTGAAGCCCTGTTTAAAAGTTATAATTTTTTGTTTGGGCTACCTCCCTTTTTAGAATTGCCTTGTAGGATGCTGATTTGCTTTACCAGCACAAGATCATTGCTGTACTCTCATACAGCAATAGGTTGTTCATATTCTATGAGGAGGTTAAAATTTCCTCGGGAGTAAAGGGGACTTGGCATTCTGCTAGAGAAAGGGAAGAAATGGGAGGGGGAAGGAGATGTCTATCTGGAAAATCTCTCCAGGATCAGTGTTATTGAGGGAATTTACTGAATGGCGCCTCAAGAACCCCAGTGCCATCTTGCCTGTCTCTGAATGTTATTCATTGTGATGAGGCATACAAGTTACCTGGGGTGATGCAAGAAAGATGAAAAGTAAAATGTTTGCAAATTGCCTCTGCAGTGGTCGCAGTGTGGGGCAATTTGGTCACAGTGAAGCCCAATAATATGTAACTATTACCTTCTGTGGGTTACTGACAGTTTTCACTGGAATCCATTGAAGTCAGTGGCTAAAGGCTCATTCTCTTAAAAAGCTGTCTGACTTAGAAGCTCTTTTTATGTCAAAAGTTATGTATAGAAAAAGTATTCTATGAAACGAAATAGCATTAATGGAACCATCCATGGCAAGTAGCGGACTGGAAAATACAGTTTAGGCACATACCATCAGCCTTCAAATATTAAGAAACACAATATAACTGATGCATTATATTTTACTAAAATCTGACATTTCACAAAAGCATTCATCAACCAGTTCTTCAAAATTCAACAATGTGTAGAGGTTTTGATTCAAAACGTATATTGCAATGTCACTTTTGTGTTTGAGAAAAATACAAAAGGCATAATTGAATGTCACATTTTTCCTGTCAATAACTGTGTGAGAAAATTTAGCAGGTATTTTAAATCAACCAGCACTTACACTAAAATCCAAGCACCTGGAGAAGATCCATATGTGCTTAATTCTTTTGTAGAAGGATTAAGGCATGTTACATAAGTTTTCATCCCTACATGTCCTTATCATGGCCTTAATAGCCTGGGTGACATAAATTATTTAAGAACCAGAGGTAGCCACAAAGGCTTCAATAGTCTTTGCTTTTCAGTCTTTCCAGACAAATATTTAGAAGCTTTGTTGTTTGTATAATGGACTGAGATTCATAGTAATGATTATGTCCATTTGCTCATATGAAATGTGAACTTTAAAAATTCCCCCAAGTTAAAGCTAAAGAAACTGGAAAGTAAAAACAACACTACAGGGCTCTTTCCCCTTCCTTTAAGAGTTCAGCCTGTGCCTTTATTGTCTGTTCAAAATGATATATGCACAAGCCTCTCCAGATGTTGCATGTGGAATCTTTACATGGCAACAATGTCACATCATCATCACTCATAACATCACCTGTACATAATGAAGAACTTCTTTGACCACTATGGAGAGTTTTTTCAATTAGTCTAGTTAGTTTTCTTTGTGATCATCTAGATTATGGTGCAAATAATCAGGTTCTCTATTAGTCAACACAAATGCAGTGTACAATTTACACTTTAGAGAGAGTTCTTAACTGAGAATTTTGGTTCAACTGCTTTACATTTTGGACAGTTGTAATGTTTTTATCAAGTGTCTTTTCCCTCCTATAGGTATCTACCCCACCTTTAATCTTAGACAGGGTTTTGTAATGAGGATTTATAACTGTTAGCAACAAACTAAATATGAGCAAAAGGAGGAGAAACATTTCTTTTAACTCAACCAAGATATATTATCTAAAAATGACAAACCCAGCTTCTGTAATTGTTTTATCAGCAAGATAACCAATGTTTTAAAAAGTCATTATGAGTCACTGATAGAAATCAATAATAGAAAAATATTAGATTTTGAATGTTGACCTAGAATATACATCATACAACTTTTCATAGGAAAGATGTTCTTTTTAGTGTGATGATGATATGTCTTCTTCAGCAAGCAAAGAGCTGAGAGTTGTCTTGCCTTGTCCACTAATGGAAATGGATTGCATAGTTTGTTAATATTTTTAGCTCAATAAGAAATATGGGGGAACTCTGTAGTATTTCCAGGCACTTCATATCTTCATGCTTTTCTTCACTGTTGCATACCCCACAACTTTGTTTAATGATGAGGAGATTTTGAATTTTATTCACCTAGTGGGAATAGCTGGTGCGTATGAAAGAGTCAGGTGGAAAATGAAAGTAAGAACTGTCTTGGCTTTTGAC